GGCGATGTGAGAGGAAGTTTTGTCGGCAGTCTTTAGTGTATTTGCTCGCTAAAGCTGCGCTCAATATTTATCAAATTAGTACCAATGTTAGTACTTATTCTTGTATGTTCTTTTGTAGCCTGATACATGGTTACATAGTCTGTACGTTCATCTCTTATTTATGCATTTTCTGCTTTACTTTTTTTTTATTGATCACTAGCATTAATTTTTGGTTATCAAGCATTGGCTCTCCGATTTTCTCCATATACAGTGGGGGGAAATAAATATTCGTACACTTGAAAAATCGTATTTTAATGTATGTAAGTACACAAACTGAACAGGAGAAGTGATTTATATTATGTATAGAGGCGCATTGTATTCAAAAATAGCCTCAATAGAAATTAAATCTCAATGCAACAAAAATTAATGCAACATGTTAACTTCTTCGGGTATAATATAAATCACTTCTCCTGTTCAGTTTGTGTACTTACATACATTAAAATACGATTTTTCAAGTGTACGAATATTTATTTCCCCCCACTGTAGTACGTGCTGATAGTGTGCTCACGATGTGGATGTTGTTCTTCATATGTACATGCGCTCTTCAATTTTCTGCATGTTCGTTATATCTCCGTACGTTTTTCATACGCTGGAAGCAGTGCCACTGGATGCAGTGCAGCGGGAATCAGCCTCTCTGAATACAGTGCCACTGGATGCAGTGCCGCTGGATGCAGTGCCACTGGATGCACTGCCGCTGGATGCAGTGCCGCTGGATGCAGTGCCGCTGGATGCAGTGCCACTGGATGCACTGCCGCTGGATGCAGTGCCATGCAGTGCCACTGAATGCAGTGCCACTGGATGCAGTGCCACTGAATGCAGTGCCACTGGATGCACTGCCGCTGGATGCAGTGCCGCTGGATGCAGTGCCGCTGGATGCAGTGCCACTGGATGCACTGCCGCTGGATGCAGTGCCACAGGATGCAGTGCCACTGAATGCAGTGCCACTGGATGCAGTGCCACTGAATGCAGTGCCGCTGAATGCAGTGCCACTGAATGCAGAGCCGCTGGATGCAGTGCCGCTGGATGCAGTGCCACTGGATGCAGTGCCACTGGATGCAGTGCCACTGGATGCAGTGCCGCTGGATGCAGTGCCGCTGGATGCAGTGCCGCTGGATGCAGTGCCGCTGGATACAGTGCCACTGGATGCATTGCCGCTGGATACAGTGCCACTGGATGCAGTGCCGCTGCATACAGTGCCACTGGATGCAGTGCCAGTGGATGAAGTGCCACTGGATGCAGTGCCGCTGGATACAGTGCCACTGGATACAGTGCCGCTGGATACAGTGCCGCTACGTTACATGCACGCTGACCACCGCATGCGAACAATCAAGTCTGGCCTTGAACACTGAACGCTCGCTACGAGTTCTGCTACATTTTCTTGTGATTGTCTGAGCTTTTGCTCCGTGAAGTCAAACCTGACCGAGCTGACAATTTACTCCTTGCATTACCTGCATTGTATTTGTTGTGCCCGAGTTTGTGAAAGTAAACTTTACACGTTCTCTATTGTTATTTATGATGATGGTTTTTGTTGGTGTTGAAAAATGCATATTTATATCTGTAATTTAAGTGTGAAGTTTTTTTATAAAACAGTAGATAGGCGTATTCAATTTATTTTATGTAGAGAAGCAATGATGATAAGGCTGTACCTGCTTTTTCATAGCCGTTGACTCGCATTTATAAAAATTGCAAATTCTGTTATATTCAGACAGCTGTGACGGTGTTTTGTTCAAACTGTGAAATTTTCTAAAATTAATACTGGATTGTAAGTAAAAGATGTCTGTCTATACTAGGAATTCGCTTCCACCGAATCATTTTGCCCGCATCGAATATTCTGTATATCCTTGCTTGATGGTATCTTTTGGACTTTGAAATAAACTTGCAAAGCTTATTTTTTGATGCACAACTTGATCATTCTCATGTGATGGTATAAGAATTAGGCAGTTTGAACTGTTCAGATGATTGCTTTTGAGGTGAGGGTGTAAGATATTTCATTATTAGCTTACACTTGAGCATGCCTAACAAGACGCGGACGGATGGCTTGTGCATTTGGCATTACGGCAAGAGCCGTTCTCGAATGTGAAGTCTTCGAACCATGCACCTGTGAGATATCTTATTTTACCCGCTATTGGAGAGTGGTTCATTTTTGCATCGTTCTATGAACACTGTGATTTATCAATTCTTTCCACGTCTTTATATGTACTCGACTTGAAATTTCTTCATGGGAGACCTGGAATCTTGTTTGTAAATAGACAGGGCTTCCCTGAGTTATGTTTAATAATGGCTGTTCAATGATGTGCACCTCACCTGCTGCGTGTGCGGTGACCAGAATCTGAGAAGCGCTGTGCTTCTGAGGCAATAATTGTTGGAGAATGTATTGCAATAATGACAGATCCTGAGTGGTATTACTTAAACTGAGCTTTCTGGGTATAAAATTTCTACCCTAAGTGTTCGGCCGTTCTAACTCAGAACAATTATTGTGCTAATGCCTCACGTTTTAACAAGTGAAAAAGACTCAACGAAATAGCACAAGTAAAGACATTATTAAGATATGAAAGACGTACCAATTCACGAAGTATGATCATATTACCACCCTGACATTCATTCTGGTGTAATCCTATTGATTGCCGACCTAATTGTTCTATCCGTGGCTTTATGTGTCATTGTCCATAATTATTTTGCATTTATCCCATGTAAATTTTCCAGCTAAATTCCCTGAAATGACCGGCCGAGCTGCATTCATGTCTACCATTATTCTGCGAGTCCACTTTATAATGAGCCGACTTCTTACAGTTGTTCACCCTCAACTGTTCACTCATTCATTACGCAGTCAAAAGTTTTGTTGTTTAAATTTCGCAGATCTTTTTGGTCGTACAATCCTCCAAAACCTTCTCCTGATCGCACAATTTTTAAACGTAGTTCATTTACACACCACAGGAATTAATTGGCTGCTATTCGGGGCGCCATTGCGCGCAATTCGACGTCCCTCAGTAAGTAAAAGTTAATGCAATTGTATTAAATTGTTAGCAAAGCTCTTTAACAATATAAGTGCGCTATTTGATTTTGGGCACCAATACGAAAAGTATCAAAGCTTGACATTAAATTTCCGTCGGATTCGCTGTTCCTATTGAATGGCGTCATGCCACACGCCGCACGGCATGCCCTTCATGCCTCACACGTCATGCCCTAACATTACGTAAGAGGTCATAGCCGCTCGTGTCGTAGTCACACGAACGACCTTCGTCTCTGCGCTAAAAATTTACGTCACGGCGGCGCGACTAGAAATGCTGTGCGCGTTGATCTTCTGACGTCATCCTTATGACGATGACGTCAACTATCGCCACGTTTACGATATCTTGCGAATAATATTGTATTTTTAGTTGGTTACGTGATCTGTAGAGCTGGTGACGTCATCTGTAGAGCTGGTGACGTCATCTGTAGAGCTGGTGACGTCATCTGTAGAGCTGGTGACGTCATCTGTAGAGCTGGTGACGTCATCTGTAGAGCTGGTGACGTCATCTGTAGAGCTGGTGACGTCATCGGTAGAGCTGGTGACGTCATCACCGTTACGGTACTTGAGTTGCTAATGATGTTTGTTGTGTCATCGTGGGAAGGTTAACCTTGCAGTGTCCGAAGAATTGTGCTGGTAGGAATAGCGTTAGAAAAACAATTGAGAATTTTTACTCGAGGTCACTTAGGAGTTGAGTATTTTCGCGTACGATTGTCACTTCGAAAAATATGCAAACTTTTGTTATTTTAATACGGATGCGTACCCGTATACTATAGATTTTGTGGTAGAAAGCCATCCGCCTTCATGCGGTAGATACTGCCGTAGAAAAATGCCACGTCCAATTTTAAGGTTCGAAATTTCTTATTCGTGTATGAATTCGTTCTCGTTGCTCCTACGTCGATGCAGGATATCATGCAATCAAGGCTCATTTTAACAGGCTGCGCTATTCATGATATTTTAATGCTCTACCTCGTGCGCAGTGCTCGCTCCAGCCGCTGTACATGTGCTGGACTTGGTTAGAATTTCCAATTCATAAGCACCTTTCCTCCCGCCATAATCAGCCTTGTCCCCGCCCTGATCACTTACGCCCCCTTCTATTACCACCCCTGCTCCCGCCGTTATCACCCTTGTCCTCGCCCTGATCACCTACGCCCCCTTCTATTATCACCCTGTCTCTT